TGTAAAAAGTTTCCAAGGAAAGTGATGCAGTGGCCCTCAGGTAGCAACCCCTACATGGGGGCAAGGAATAGTTCTGCACTCCAGCAGATGCTTGAAACCATGAATAGTGTCCAGCTTAATGGACTACACTTTTTGTTATGCATATGTACTTGTGACAAAGTTTAATTTAAAAATGAAGCACAGTAAAAGATTAGCAATAGGTAATAATAAAATATAACAATTACAATTGCATGCCACCATAAAAGTTATGTGGATGTAGCCTATCTATCTATTATCTATCTACCTACCTACCTACCTGCCTATCATCTGTCTATCTGTAGTATGCATTCTCCTATTGATGATGCTGTGTGATGTCACACAATGAAGTGAATAACTCAGAATTACTGGACAACAGGGTTAGGCTGCTGTTGACCTCCTAACCATGTGTCAGAAGGAGGATTATCAAGGTATGGATGTCTTTGACCACAGGTAACTGGAACCACAGAGAAGTGGGGGTTACCCTCATGAGAAATCGATGTCTCCAATCTGCTCTCTTGTCTCCATGCCATGTTAAAATCACAGAGATCCAAGCTCAGTGGGTTTCAAGCAGATCCAGGAGGTCCCAGAGAACCCCATGAGAAATGAGGGTAGAGCCTAGAAGCCAAAGTGACTTTCTTAGCTTTCTGGTTCCTTTCCTTCAAGGTGAGTTTCTTTTTTTACCTCTGTTGCTCTTTGGTATTCCGGGTAGAGTTTTTATCCAAAGGGAAAGAACATGACAACTACCTACCCAATACAGTCCACACCTTGAATTAAATGTATAAAAGTGAGACCCCGAAAGGCTCCACTCAAGTAAAAAGTAAGCTTCTCCCCTTGTTTGGCCAATGTCAAGCGCCCACCTCCATTTTTCATGGTAAGCACACACATGCACGCACGTACACACGCTTGCACACACACCTCACTACTCCCAGAGTCGTTCAGCTACCAAGTGTTCCTGCCCATGCTTTCTTTCAGTTCACTAACCTGGGGATCTACATGATCGTCAGCTGTGATCACAGGACTCTGGCTGCTGAAGGAAACCATCAGAATTCTGATTATTTAAAAGTCCTCACCACAGGGGCCTGGAGAGATGGCTAATTAAAAAGACTTGGTGCTCTGACAGAGAGGGTTCAGGTTCAGTTTCCAGCTCCCACATGGTCGCTCACAACCATCTATAGCTCCAGGAGAGTTCCGGGAGATCCAGTGCCCTCTTTGACCTCCAAGTATCCCAGGCATACACACATATATATGTATGTATGTATGTATAGTGAGCCTGCATACATATAGGCAAAGCTCTCACACATATAACACATATAAAATAAATAAATCTAAAAAAAACCAAAATTCTCCCCACAGCCTGCTCTAGGTCTTATCATCAAATTCAGGCAATACCCTTTTCCTTCAAAACAACTCCAATTAAATTTCCTAGATGGCAGACAATTTGTAGGCTTCTTCTGTCATTTTCTAATATCTCCTAGAAATCAACTATTACCAAGGAGCTCTGTCTAGTTCAGGCTCTCTAGGAGGGCCTGAGTGAAGGGGTAGGAAATTCTTTAATCTTCAGTGATATGGGGAGGCGGGTAGAGGTGTGGGGGTGAGGTAGAGGACTTGGGTTGTAGAGTGGTATAGGGAGGTTGAGGGGAGGAGGTAGGGAGAGGTGAAAGGGAGGGGAGGTAGGGGTGGGTGTGGAGACAGAAAACCCATTGGCAGAGTCAGAAGGTGTTTGACTAAGGGGATATGAGCAGGAACGTAGTTATTTAGGGAAAATATATATTTGACATTTTATTTTTCAAATAAAAATGCTTAAGTATTTACTGTGAGGGAAAAGTCTAAACTGCGCATTAGCTTTCTCTTCCCTAGAAGTTATGTGGCGTAGAGGCCTCTCATTGGGTCCTCTCACACACTGACCCCTCACCTGCCCAGCTCCCCCCTCAGGCTTCTCACCCACATGGATCTTGGTCCTTCTCTTTGGGAAATGAATTTGCCCTAGGTGAAAGGTGTGCACAAAATAGTTGCAAAATGAAATATCTTGTCAAGTCACCGAACAGGCTCGGTGGCTCGGTCTTCGTCGGGGTCCAGGTCCCTCCTTGTGTGATACTGGCCTTAAGGGATTTGCCCTTGAGTTCAACTTTCTCTCCACTTGGTTTGATGCCTTTGAAACAAGACAGAAAGCGTTTATGAAGCTCTTTCAGAGCACAATAAAGGCCTACAAAGTAATGGATGATCTAGCTCTTCACAAGAAACTAGCTAATTCTTACTGGGGCAAGCTTGTACTTAAGACATGCGAGCCCCCCCCCCAGACTAGAAATAAAAAGATCAATTATCAAGAAGAGATGTAGAAGGATTTAGTGTGTTTTCTTTACAGTTTTTACTGCCGTCTTTCAAGAATTCTGTTCTCTCCAAGAAAAATAGAGACAGAAATTCTAGTATTTATCTTTGTGGATATATGTCTGTGCCAACGATGTGTGATATTTTATGAGAGGGTGCAAACGTGAGTACAGGACTGAAGTGTGAATTACTGACATGTATATGTAGTTGATGGGAGTTCAGTATCTACATGTGTTTCTGAGTGTGAATGCAGTCTCAGCAAGAATACCCATTTATAAATGTATGGCTATTGGAAAGGTCACCAACACACAATGAGGCAGATGCTAACAAGTCCATGGATATTTCATTAAGTGTCTTGATTTTCTTCTGATGAACAAATGATGCGGGGAGTGGAGAGGAAAGCAGTAGGGTTTTCCTTTTTTCTTTCAGTTAATAAATTTCAACAGCAGGAGTGCAGAATACTGGCTACAGAGTATGGTGGAGTTAAACAAAATTCCTTTTGTGGGGCAGTAATTACGCAGAGTACAGATAAGAAATGAAACCTTTCTGCAAGGAAGTTTTGTTCCGGCTCCGTTGCCGATCTGTGTGTATGGTCTAATTACTGAAAGCTCAGGCCTGGGCTTCTGGAGCTGAGGGGAGAAAGTCTTCTTTTAAGAGTAATTGACAGAAGCAGGGGCACGGCTTGCATAACTGGGGGAAACCATAAGGTTACTAAGCAGGAGCTCTGCCCAGGTTTCCCCCATGAGTTCCAAGACAAAACGCGTGGTTTGGGGGTAAGGCCAGTCAGTTTTCTGCATAAATAACTGGCAGTGGGCTAGCCCAGTAAAACATTCTTTCTTCTGCTCCTTTGGCGAAAGAGCTAGCAATCTAAGTACCTGCTTGTCTACCTCTTCAGAGGGCTTCTACCAGCCCCTTCCCCCCACGGAAGCCAAGACTAATGGGCCACCGTGTGACCAGCTGGAAGATGCTGGTGCCCGAGTTGGCGGAGTGCTTTGGGGAGCCTGGAAAGCCTGCAGGCATGGGCTCCAGAGGCAAGGGAGGGGAGCTGGCTACATCTGGGTGGGAGGGATGGACCCCATTGTCCTCCAGGCCTGGGGAGGGTGCAGGGTCATTAGGTAGAGGGTGTTTCTGTAGCTGTTAGCCCGAGGAAACGGCTCACTTTTGTTTTCCACCCAGTAGGAAATGGACCTGAATCCATTAGATTCTGGGCAGTTCAACCCGGCACAGTTTGAGCCCTTGGAAACTAGATGCCAAAAAGGCTACTTGTGTGGATTTGTGCCCCACCACCATTGTGCAGCACGCCTATCATTTACGCGTTTAAAGCCTGTCAGGCTGGCAGTGTGCAGCAGAGGGCTGGACGACAGTAATGCCAGCAGACACAGGGGTTGGTAAAGTGCACCTGTAGAGTTAAAAATGCATGACCCATTCGCTCTTTGAGGGAACACAGGAGAGAAACCCCTGTCCTGGCCGGTGTCTGCTGAGATGTAATACATAATTCACGGGCCCATGCTGCTCCATGCAGATGGCGGTATTAAATCGTGATTGATGCTCAGAGACAAACAACGTTCACGAAGGGCTCCAAGAGGCTTCGGAATATTTCTGCGTCTCTTGTGCCCCTCTGCTCTAACCGTGGTATTAAGCAAACCCTACTATTTCCCAAGAACCCCTGCTAGGGATTGCAGAAGTTCCCTCCTGGATAGATGAGAATCTTGAAATGTCATCACCTACCTTTTCTGCCTTTGAAGGTTGTCCCTTCCCTTCTGACCCACTGCTTACCGCCAGCCAGGCACTGAGCAGAGGGGGAGCCAGTTCTACCCCTGCCCCTGCCTTTCCAGAAACACCAGCACACTCTGGTGGCCACAGAGCCAGAGGGACAGTGGGCAGAAAGCACAGAGAAAGCTAAGGCACCTGGTCCGCCCAACACAAAGCACCGTTGTGGAAATGCTGAGATTAGAGCCAGCAGATTCTCGGAGAGAGATTCTTCCACTGGGTGTACATTGAAATAATAAATCAAATCTGTGGGGTGTGTGGAATTCAGTGTTTGGGGAGGTCTTTAAAATAAGCTTTAATCACTCTCCAGAGCCTGTTTTGGCCCAAAGCTGAAAGTACCGCCCTGCACCTCTTGTAATTGTTGCCAGGCTTGCTTGTGGGTTGGTACCACAAAACCACCATCGTCAGTTCCTGGAGCCCGGCTGCTGGCTGACTGTGCTGGGCTAGGAGACACCGAATAAAATGATTTGTGAGACAAAGATAGAGATGGGAGGCTTGAAGGAAGAAAGGAAGATAGCCAAGAAAGGGAGACAGGAAAAGGCAGGGAGAGTTCTTCAGAGTACACTTGTGTTTTTATAATCTCCAGCCTTGTAATTGTTTGTAATTGAAATATTTATAACCATTTTCTGGATGTGTGTGTGTGTGTGTGTGTGTGAGAGAGAGAGAGAGAGAGAGAGAGAGAGAGAGAGAGAGAGAGAGAGAAAGAGAGAGAGAGAACCGGGTGGCTACAAGGACTGAAGAGTTAAACTAATCTCTCCCACTGAATGAATAAATAGGTTAGTCTCTCCTGGGCTGCCATAAAAGGTTCGTAAAATAGTAGTGATGGTCACGGGAGGGAGGCTGCTGGAGCTTATCTCAAATTCTCTGGTGGTGTTGCTTTCTTCCAGACCAACCCTGCGGAGGTCGACTGAATTCCAAGGATGCTGGCTACATCACCTCCCCAGGTTACCCCCAGGACTATCCCTCTCACCAGAACTGTGAGTGGGTTGTGTACGCCCCCGAACCCAACCAGAAGATTGTCCTCAACTTCAACCCTCACTTTGAAATCGAGAAGCATGACTGCAAGTAAGTACAACCCTCTGTCTGGGGATGTGTACATAGGCCACTATCCTTATCTTTTGCCTTTTTGTCCATGAAGGGCAATAGTGGATCCCAACCACAATGGGACACATAAAGATGACATTACCTTTTAGGAGAAATAGGGTGGAGTTGATTCTATGGTATTGTGAAAACTTTGTGGAATAAGGTCCAGAAAACAGTGCTGTCCTGTAAGGAGAAGTTGGCAGTGGAGAGAGTTTCAATGAGGGCTACAAAATCCTACTTACTGGCTCTATGATTTACATTTCCTTGGAGAGCTCCTCCATTTCAACCGTTGCCTTATTAGGGAGCCCTGCCAGCTTCCCAAATAAAATAGTAGCTGATCCTCAATATATCCAGCATTGGGGATTAGCTTCTGAAGGGGCTGTTCACTACTTAAAAAAGAGTAAGAAACACTCTTTTTTGATGAAGGCAGGTTTAAGACCCCAATTGATTCTTGATGTCTGCGCTGCCCAGGTTACTATCAGAGATGCAGGTATGGATTTGTTCTACAAACACAGTTCCAATTGCTTTACAAATAACTAAGCCTCTCGGTCCTCACTGTGGCCCTGGGAAGTCCTGTCATCGTGATCTCTGTTTTAACACCAACACAGTAAAACACAGAACGGTTTAGTCAGCCACTCAAGGCGATTTAGATGATGCTACCCCAGGATATCATCTTTGGAGATGCTGTGCTGCAGGGTGGGGGGAGCAAGTAGGGTGGACGTGTGGAGAACAGAGATGATGGCAGAGTAGTCATCAAAGCTCCACCGTAAGGGGAGAGAAGGTACCAGTGACAGTTTTGGTCTTTGTACCATAAGCTCCAGTAAGTGTTCTGTGTTTACGTTTTGAATAAGCATTCTAAACATTACTGTGACCAAGAACTTGTGAGTCCTAAATAATTAATAAAGGGACAACTTGTGGGGCAGGTATAAGAGAGCAGGCGGCACTCCTGGCCTCCATTGTAGAACAGGCTTCTTCCTTAGAAAACGAGGCCTGTCTGTAACCAGCGCTAAATTCTAAGCCTGGTGAACTGTTGTCCTTATTACCCTCCCAGGACCACTTTGCACCTCCAGAATGGTTTCCTTCTCACGGGAGGTAGTCTATGCTGAAAACCAAAAAGTTTCCCGGATGGAGGCTGCATGTGATCAAGAGTCACAGGATGGGATGTAGTTTCTAATTCCAGGGCCAGTCTGGCCGCCTGGATGACACAGCATGTGAATTCCCCTTTGTCTGTGTTATACAGACATGCTGGACACATTGACTCAGCATCCCTGGGCTCCCACTTCCCTAACAGTGGACTTTACAAAGAATTGGGGTTAGTACAATTTCTGAAAAAGGTTTTTTGGGTCTGGGAACCTTTGGCTAGGCTACAGAAGCCTGGCACCAGCTGAAGCATAGTGTACAGGGTGCCTGAGAAGGAGCGCCAAGAAATTTGACTAAGCATCTCTCTGGATGGAGGGCCAAATTCGGTTCTGCTGACACCAGCAGAATATCTAGGGGAAATTGCTAAGAGACTATTTTATGGATATCCACGGTGACAGAGGAAAAGGGCCCGGCTTTTTAGATGGTTGGGCCCAGATGGCAAGGAGCAAAGCTCCAAATACATTGGGAAGACTGAAAGACTGAGGAAGCACACTCTGGCCCCAGGACCATCCCCCAGGGTGGGGAGAGCCTGGTGTGGAGCCTCAGTCAGCAGAAGCCACACAAACCTCACCCTTGCCGGAGCCTGAAGAGAGGAAACAGGCAAGTGACAGGCTATCTCCCAGCTTCTCCGCCTTCCTAAGCAGCTTCCTGTTTTCCTCTGCACTCCCCATCCGTGCTGCTGGCTTCATCTAAAAGGTCGAAGAGGTCACAAAAAGCTCCTTCTGGAATCTCTTTCCCCAAGTGCCAAATTGTCTGCCAGGCTCCTCTAGGGTTAAGCTCTATCCACTTCGTCTTGCTCTCGATCCCCCACCACTTCTCCACTTCCCATTGTCTGTCTCTCTTGTTAGTTCTTATATTTAGAAGGTCATATCTGGTCTCAATCTTTTACTCATGATCATTTGCATGCAGAATAAGGGGCTTGCCCCTCCCAAGGCCTCCCTCTGCTCTCTTGGGAAAGAGCTCTTCACCTCACTAAATCCCGCAGTGCTGGCCTGCTTTACTCCCCCAACACTGCATTTTTTTTCCTCCAAAGAGTTCCTGATAGCATTCACCATCAAAGGATATCAACCTACCGTTCTCTGTGTCTTGAGGACATGTTCAATTGTCTACCTCAAAACTGAAGCAGTAGATCCCTCACCCAACAGAAGCCTGCCTCAGTCGCCCTTCTGTGGCTGGGCAATAGCTCTTGGCAGAAAGGGGAAATGAAGGCTTTTGTGCCTGCCCACATCTTTTCCTTCTGCCTTCTGTTCATGAAATTACCTACAGAAATTGCCCTTTGACTAAAGACCAGGGTCCTGACAGGAAGGATTATTCTGGTGTGTGATACCTAAACCTTTGTCTTTCTGTAGCTTGAAGTCTCTACCCCAAAGGTCAAAACTGTTACTGAGCAAACCCCAGACAGATCTTTTCCTGACCACTGCTTGTTCATTTTGTTCCACTGAAGCTTGCTGTCTGCTTGGAAAATTTCACTCACAAGCGTCAGCCGTTCTGTGCCAGTGCCATCCAAAGCCACCCTCTCTGTTAGCTCTGCCTGCCTCCTCCCTCAGGCTATCCACAGATGGCCAAACCCTGAGCGCTAGCATGCTGTCCTGGGGACCTGGTAACAGCTACAGGCAGAAGCAAAGGCTGCTGTGGCATTGCCAGCTGCCTGTGTCAGGGGACAAAAAGACAGGACTCAGGGCTGTCTGGGCAAACAAGAGAGAATCCAATTCATCCCTCCTGGGAGCAGAAGATACCAGGAGGCTGTTGCCTCGGCAGACAGAGAAGCCAATTGCTTGAGTCATCAGCCAGAGGGTTCAATGTTATGGTTTTAGAAACACACACAAGGCTGAGTATTTTTCCATTTCTAAAGTTTGAACTATATGCATTTTTTAAAGCACTTACCAACATGCCATCCTACAAACATCAATCTTCAAGCAGGCGTGCACATGTGTACACACACACACACACACACACACACACACACACACACCATTGTAGAGGCCCAACCAGAGGTAACTAAAATTAAGAGCTAGTTCCTTGAAAGAATAAGTCCTTACCAAATAGGTATCTTGAAAATATTTTTAGGAAGTTCAAAAGCCGCTAGGAAGCCATGAGAGTACGTTTCTTGGCCAGCGGCCTCACATGTAAGTCTACATAGACTCAGAACAAAATGACCTCATTCATATCAAAATGTGCACTGTTGAGGAACGGTGGTTTTCTGGGTGGAGTTCCTTGGTGAAAAGTCCCAGAATGTCTTAAATTACATGCCACACTTCCCTGTTTTCTTAAAGCCAACAGTTAAGAAGAGTAATTTCTCATTCTTGATAATTCAAAATAGTAATTGCTCACTTCTTCCTAAGCAATGGAGTCCAAGTAATGTCCTCTTTGGATGTGACTCACTCTTAGGAATGTGAGTACCTGAGTGCAGTACCTGCAGAGGCCAGGAGAGGGCACAAGACCCCATTGTGAGCTCCCTGATGTTGGTGCTGTGAGCAGAGCTCATGTCCTCTTCAAGAGCAGCGTGCGCCCTTAAACCCTGAGCCACCTCTTCAGTCCACATTGGAGTTCTTGTCAAGCTTTTAAACTCTAAGTCATCAGTTTACCCCTTTCTCAAAACCATGACAACAGCTGCTTTGCTATCCCTTGTTGATGTCATTACAGTAAGTTAACAAGCATGTTAAATGCGGTTGCATTGTGTCATGGGAAACTTGAGACTATTTTCTCCTGGTATTTTTCTTTTTAAACTTTTTTATTTGCTTATATTTTATGTATGAGAAGCTCTACATATGTACCCACAGGCCAGAAGAGGGCATCAGATCCTCTTACAGATGGTTGTGAGCCACCATGTGGTTGCTGGGAACTGAACTCAGGACTTCTGGAAGAGCAGCTCTGAACTGCCGAGTCATCTCTCCAGCCCCTTCTCCTGGTACGCTTGCTATCACTTCTTGTTATGAGGAGTCTCCCTCTTCTGACTTTTTTTTTCCTTCGTATCAAATTTGCTATAGAAAATCTTTACTGTCTGTGCTAAAAATTAGGTCCTGGGGTTCAAGATTTCAACCCTAAGCCAGTGCAAATTCAAGATCAACATTTCTCATTTGCTTCATTCGGCCAAAGTCACATCAGAGTAAGGCCTGCCTGAAAATTGACCCCACCCTGACTGTGCATAATACAGCACCCGTAGTTCTCGAGGCTTCTGCTCTCCCCAGTCTGCTACATTCTGGATATGGGTATTTGACCTCTGGCCAAGCGTCCTAGCTAAACAAGATGCTCCTGTGTTTACTTACCTGCAGAGGGGCCCTCTAAGTCTTAGATGTATCTGTCCCTCTCACAGTAGGTGACTATATTTTAAAACAAATAGCAGATTCCTGGGCTAATAAATTAACAATATGCTGAGCAGAGGAAAGAAACCAGATCTCGATAATCTGGTCCCTCCCCATCAACTCGTTAGTGTTTCCCCATGCCCGGTAAACGGCCAACACTTCCAGGAACCGCACACAGCCTTCCCTCTGTGTGAGGGCCTGAGCTCTGACTGCTCGCACTGTCCCTCCCTCCCTGCCCACTCTTCCCCTGGACTCCTCACCCCATCTTCTTGTCTTTTATCGGCCCCCACTCCAAGCCACCTTAGCTCTTGGTCTGAGTGGGCAAGCTCTCCAATGGCACAGGCCTCGTACTTCGTCTCTGAACTGCAGCCCTAACCCTGGAGGGACCCGAGTGGTTGTGTGCCAATGCTTGTTTTATTGCTATTTTAGCATTGATTGCACCAGGGCATTGGTAAGTGTGGTATGAACCGTGTTGGCAGCCAGGCAGGACTGTTTTTCCCATTCTCCCATCAGAGATTACAAAAAGATCATAAAATCTAG